GCGAGTGGAGGCGGAAGTAGGTAGATCTAGGACTAAATAGAGTGGAAGGGATGGATGGAGGGGTAGGTAGGTATGTATAGGAATAGATAGATGTAGATGAGTCTATATGGATACGTGGAAGTAGGTGGGTAGATATAGGAATAAATAGAGTGGTATGGATGGGGGATAGAGGGGATGGATAAATAGGTAGGTGGGTAGATAGGTAAGTAGGGTAGGTAGATATGTATAGGAATAGATGGATAGGTACGTTTTGATATAGATGAGTGTACGTGGATGTATGGAAGTGTGTAGGTAGGTAAATAAGTAGGTCGGTAGATATGTATAGCAATAAATGCAGGGAGGGATAGAGGTCTGAGGTATAAATAGAGGGATGGGTATGGAGGGAGAGAAGGACGAAGAGATAAATAGGTAGGCAGGTAGGTAGATATGTATAGGACTAAATAGAGTGGTATAAAATAGATAGATATTGTGTGGGGATGAATGGATGGATGGATGGCGAGAGCTCCCCTGTCTACCAAAGGAGATTCACTGCCTTATCCCTGAGCCAAGCCAGCAAACCTACCACTTCCCAGAAAGCCCTGTGCCCCCGACCCGATCTCCCGTAGCCAGGAAGGCCAGGCCGTGCCCCCTCAGCCCTGTCCAGCACAGCTGGTCAGAGCCCCTGGCACGTGCTGCCCGCATGTCTAGAAGCCCTGGCTGCTGCGGGGTGCCTGAGCACACAAGCACAGGCCCCAGGGCAGGCGGCTGCCAATCCAGGCTCATGGCTCCTCGTGGCATTAGGACCCAGAGCATGGCTGGTTGGGGAGGGCTGGACACCCAGAGCCCCAGGGAAAGGCTCTGGAAGCTGTTGCTTGAACCCTGAGAACCAGGCAGGCCTCATCAGGACCCCCGAGGGCCATCCACCCCTTTCACACCCAGGTCCTCGGTGCATGGGGCAGGAGGCACATCCCGTCCTGGTGGGGCTAGGGAAGATCACACTGTGCCTGGAGACTGGACACAGCCGAAGTCCATCCATGGTGCTAGGCCAAGCTCAGACACCTGCTGCCTCCATGCTAACGATCTCAGGCTAGTTGCTGCCTGTTCCCAGCTGGAAGTAGCTGCCTCCCCTTATGCAATCTGGGCAGGGGCAGTGGAGGTGGGTGGGATGAACATGCCAGAAAGCAACGGTCTCACCCTGGCGTGGGCTTGAACCTGGCACGGAGACCATGAGAAACCTCCAGAGGAACCACGTGGGGCCAGATGCTATCCTGCAAACACACCCATGGGGTCTAGCTGCAACTTGACTGAACACGAGAGCCCTGTGGACCGGGGCCTCTGCGTCCTGTGACATGTAGGAAGTGAGGAGAGGTAGCAGGTAGCGCAGGGGACACTGCTGGGGGTCAGGCAGGCTTCATCAGGCCTTGCCACTCCATGTCCCAGCCCCTGCTAGGACAGCCAGGCTTTCTTTCTCTCTTGCCTGCCCCATGGGTCTCAAAGCAAAAAAAAATTTGCTGCCATTTTAGCCCCATTTTACAGATGGAGAAACTGAGGCACAGAGCAGGCAAAGCAGCAGCAGAAGTAGGAATCGAACCTCAGATTCCCTGGTCCCACCTCTGGGCTGCTGGGGTCAGAACAAGGGAACCTCTCCCATCCACAACGCAGCCCCCACACAGGGTCCCCAACCTGAAGCTCCATCCTGGGGCTCCACATCCATGCCTGGATCTCCTTGAATCAGGCCTTCTGGCACAGGCCATCCCTTGCCTGGAAATCAGCAGGGCAGAGGTGTCTAAACCCCCTGGGCAACAGCCTCAAGCAGAGTGAGAGATTGGATTGGATTAGCTGTGTAGTGGGCAGAGAGCCTAGAAACACTTCCAGGCACCCTGTAGGTTTAGAAACCGCTAAAACTAGTGTCGCCGCCTCCACCAGGAAGATAAGTGCAGGCATTAGGTGATGCCAAGGGCATTCATTGAGCTTAATTGGTCCAGGCTTTGCAATAGCAGATGCCTGTGGAAGGTTGGGCCCCCCGCCTGTGTGATACCTCACTGGACCGGATGCTTCTCCCCAGGACTGCACCGGGTTTGGGTGCCTGGGAACAACTGCATCGTGGCAGTGACGCGTGTGTCAGTGCATGATGCATGTGATGATGCCGTGGGTCCTGGTGCTGCTCCGGCTCCTGCCCTGCTCTGGGACAGAGGAGGTGGCCGGGGGCAGATTCAATGTGGATCCTCCACCTGCGGCTGGGAGGGGCCCAGAGACCCCGGCTTGATCTGCCCTCCCAGCCGGGCCGTATGGCACCACAGCGCCTGGCACAGCCACACTGCAGACGGAGGAGCAGGGCTTGGGGCAGCATGTCCGGGGTTGCTGAGTCGCTTCTTTGCCTCCATGCATGTGCGACTGTCTGCCTGTGTCTGTGCACATGTGTGTGTGGGGGGTGCAAGTGTATGTTTATATGTGTGTGCTTGAGTTCAGGTTTGCATGCGTTTATACATCTGTGCACGTGCTTTTTATACTTGTGTTTTTCATGTGTGTGTACATGTTTATGTATGTGTGCGTGCTTATATGCATGTTTGTGTTCATACCTGTGTACATGTTTTATGTGTGTTCATGCATGTGTGTACATATTTATGCTTGTATACATATTTATGTGCACGTGTGTTCATATGTTCAGATATGTTTATATGCCATGTGTGTTTATGCATATGTTTCTGTGCATGTATGTGATTGTGTGCTTATGTGCATTTTATGTGTGTTCATATATATATATATATGTGTTCATACATGTGTACATGTGTGGTTGTGTATGTCTGTGTTTATGCATGTGTATGTGTCTGTGCATGTGTGTGTGCTTGTTTGTGTGTGCTTGTTTGTGTGTTCATACATGTGTACATATGTGGTTGCATTTTGTGTGTGTTTATGCATGTATCCTTGCAAGTGCATGTATGCGTGCATATTTATGTGTGTGTGTTTATTTGTGCGTTCATACACATATGTGTGTGTTCATATACGTGTGTATGTGTGGCTAAGTATGTGTGTTTTGTGTGGGTCTATTCACATACGTCTGTGCATGGGTGTGTATGTACGTGTGCATATTTATTTGTATGTTCATACATGTGTGTGTTTTATATATGTGGGTGTGTTTACATGTATTTTACGTGTGTGTGTTTGTGCGCGCGTGTGTGTGTAGTGCAGACATTCCTCTGTTTACTCTCCTACCACCTGCTGCGCTCGGGGAATACGAAGCCGGGAAGACGATCATCGTAATTACCCCCAATTACAAGAATAAGCATTAGGAATCTGACTAATGACCTGCCTGGCACTCGCAGAGCCCACATGCCTGTTACAAACAGAGGGCAGTGATTTGGTCTCACACTCGTACTCACACTCGCGCACACACACACACACACACACACACACACTCCATTGGCTCAATGAGGTTGCTGGGAGCTAACAGGCACATAGGACTTTTGACGGTCAAAGGGACATCAGGGCTGGGTCCTGGCATTGCTTAAGGAGCAGAGATTGTAGCCCGAGGGGAGGTGCCACGATAAGGCTGTTGCAATGAGCCAGAGCACGTGCACGTGTATGTGTGTGTGCGTGAGCATCTGTGTATGTGTGTGTTCATCTGTGTATGCGTCTGTGTGCACATCTGTTTGTGTACGGGTGCGTATCTATACATCTATATATGTGGGCACGTGTGTATATACATATGTGCATGCACATGTGTGCATGTTTGTCTGTGTGTATATGCATCTGTGCACGTGTGTAGGAATGTGTGTGCGCATGTGTGTATGTGTCTGTATGCATCTGTGCATCTGTGTTCGTGTATGCATCTGTACGCATGTGTGTGTACCTGTTTGTATGTGTCTGTGTGTGCATACCTTTCTGTGTATGCATATTGGTGTGCTTATCTGCACCTGCGTGTATACACCTGTGTGTGTTCGTGCACATACGTGTTCGTGCATGTGTGTGTGTGCATGCACCAGTGTGTGTATGTAGAGTGACTGCCACCCCCCCCAGTTTCTTTGGCAAGGAATCAAAACACGCATGCGTCCAATGCCCCATCATGCTCAGATTCCCCTTGGGCTCAGGCCACGGCCTGGGCTGCGGGAGGCTGGAGCTGAGCCCCTGCCCTGTCTCGGCCTCCGGTGCCTTCGGCTCCAGCCTCAGTCTGCCTCACAGGGGCTGGGAGCAGCCTCCCCCGCATGATGGCGGCAGCAGGGTGCCTCCCTCCTGGTGAAGAGCCCCTGTGCCAGCCTGTGCCGGCCCTGCCAGCGTGGGAAATTCTCTCGGGACCACTCACTGCCTGCCTGGTGACCGGGAGCGGGGAATCTGACCTCTGCCCTCCCTGGCTGCGCTAGGAAAAGCTGGGCCCAGCCCAGGCTGTATCACGCTTCAAGCTCCCCTGTCTGCACCATGGCTCCCCTGGCGCGGCCTGCCCCTGCCTGGTGCTCCCGCCCCACTGTGCCCCCAAGCAGGGAGGCACCGTCCCTCCCCCGCTAAGCCCTGGCTCTGGAGGGACCTGCTGGACAGGTTTGCTCAGCTCTTATCTGAGCGGCTCCGTGCCAGGCCCTCC